AATGGTTGATGGGAGAACCTTGAAGTGCTATGGGTATGGCAAAATTAAGTTGGGCATTAGGCAGGCTCATCCTGTGACTATTGAAGCCCTAATTGTAGATAGATGATAATTGGGGTTTGATCTTATTCTCCAGATCGACACAGTCAGGGACCTTGGAGGGTTGCACCTAACGACAGCAGGTAAAGTGCGCTTTCCTGATTGAAACCTACACTTGTTCACTGCCATTTCTATTAACAAGCCTGACATCAGTGTGATATTTGATGAAAATAATAAGGTGTGGACAGCCTCATGGAAATGGATGAGTGCTCATGCACCTGGTGAATTGAAAAATAAAGTGCCAGAATAGACAGTGCCCAAACATGCTTGGGATGTGCATGAGAATGAACTCCTATTATTGCAAATAATGATTATTACATAAATGCATTGCACATCATTTTCCTACAGGAATGCATTAAACATGATTTAATTAGAGGAATACATTGCTAAAGTCTGCATTATAGAAATGTATTGCCAAATATTTTACTGCAGAAATATATTACCCATCATTTACTAGATAAATACATTGCAAATTATTATACTATTGCAATGTATTGCCAATCATTTATATTATAGAAATACATTGCCCACAATTTTTATTATTGAGAAGCATTTTTCTCATTAAGTTTAAGATTAATAATTATTTTTACTGCAGAAATTCATTAAAATTATTTTCACTATAGAAATAAAGTTTGTGGAAGGCTGAAAATTATCATCAAATCTAATAATAACAATAAATAGAATAAGAGTGATATCCTAAATAATTCTTGAAAGGATAAGAATGCAAGTCTAAAGAATTAATCAGAGAAACAGGTTACTTACGATTTGAAGTTGGAGGTATACTTGTGGTTAGACTTGCTTCATTGAAACATTGAACAGCAACATCTTCCCTGTGGGTACAGTCATGAACTCCCCAAGAAAGATTGGGACAAACTTCAAGATCATATTCTGATCCAGTACAATCGAGTTCATCAAGCCAGATGGTACCTTGCCCTTGTCCAAATACATTTGAAATTACTTCTCCAGAACTGAAAGGAAAATTTATTTTAAAAATTACATTCTCAAGGTAGGGACTGTAAATTCTTGGTCTGAATTTTTTTCAATCATTTCAAGGCCATAAATCCACAAGAACACAGAGAGTTACAAGTTGAACAGGTTGACTGATGTCCTTGATTGGATTTTGGACTGACTTGATAGGATCTTATCCTGGTGGCACACCACCAAATATAACCAGTTGCTGGGGTATGGTCAGCTCCCTGTTATGGTACTCAGTTTTGGTTGCTACTTACAAAGTATTACTGATAGAAAATGGGGAGAAAAGATCTTTGATAAATGGGGAGAAAAGATCTTTGATAAAGGAACAAAATGCTTTCTGTAAATTTAACAAAATTCAATGCGAAGAGAAAGAAATATGTCTGTAGAATTTAAATCCTATGAAATGATGTCTGAGTGTTAACTCTATATACAATGTGTATGTGTGTTCAGTGAAATGTGGGTGGGTTTGAATCTGGTCTGTTTCTTTCACTCAATGAAATGACTGCCAACTGAAATGTGTACAGGCTTTATAAAGGGAAAACATTTTTGATAACAATGATTAATGACTTCACTTTAGCCAAATCACAAATAATTACAAATCGCAATGCTCTTAGCTAACATGTCATTATCTTCATCATCCCATAAATTAACCAGGTGGCTTTCTTACTGATGAAAGATTCCTTTTCAGAAATGATCAGGTCCAGATAATAAGGAGCATTATTCAAGGAGTAATATAGCTGAAGGATGTGACATATATCAAACTGTTAATAAGTTATGCTTGAGGGGCAAGTACAAGTTAAAATACAATCACACAATTAGGGCTTTCTTTGCTTAGAAATGCACCGTTAGGGAACTATACATTTATTATATTTTATTATCACATGGACAATTGACACAACTCATAATGTCGGAATAGACCAAACCAATTATTACTAATTTTGTTGATAATTCTATTTTTTTTTCCAGAGAAAATGGTTAACTGCATTCTCATGGATTTCACTTGATGAGGGCTAGAGATTAGATTAAATAAAATATTTTCTTTGCAGTCATTATTTACATTATCTAATTCCTTGTCTATCCAAAGAAAAAATATGTAAAAATATTAAAACTAAAAATCACCTGTATCCCATCATTCTACAAATAACCTTTGCATCATTGTTATCAAAATTATCATCACAGACAGTCCCTCGGATTCCATTACGAATGATTTCAATTCTTCCACTGAGTCCTGATGAGCCACCAACAAGTTCAATTATGATGACTGAAGAGAAAAAGGCATAACAATAAAAGAGAGTGAGATGTATGAAAACTGATGAATGAATTTAAACATAGGTTCTGTACATATGCAACTGTTTATTTGTGACCAGAATATATATATGTATATACACACACACACACTAGGATGATAACTAATAATTTCGACACATTCCTTTGTAAGTTTTCATTTTTATATACGTTATTATAGAAATTTATTGCAAATAATGATTACTACAGAAATGCATTGCACATCATTTTACGATAGGAATGTATTGACAATGGTTTGCATTATAGAAACATAACATTTTTTCTGTAAAATATATTACCCATCATATACTATCTAAATACACTGCTACCCATCAGTTACTTTATAAGTAAATTGCTACCCATCATTTGCGATATAAATACACCGCTATCCATCACTTATTACATAAATACACTGCTACCCATCATTTGCTGTATAAATACACTGCTATCCATCATTTCCTACATAAATACACTGCTACGCATCATTTGCTGTATAAGTACACTTCTATCCATGATTTACTATATAAATACACTGCTACCCATCATTTGTTATATAAATACACTGCTATCCATGATTTCCTATATAAATACACTGCTAACATTCATTTACTACATAAATACACTGCTATCCATGATTTTCTATATAAATACACTGCGTGTTATAATAATATTGTAATGCATTGCTATTCATTTATATTATAGTAGTACATTGCCCAAAATTTGATTATTGAAATGCTTTGACAAACATTTTTGCCAATTAGTTTTACATTAAAAAATATTTTTGCTGCAGAAATCCAGTAAAAATTATTTTTTTCATAGAAAATAAAATGTGGGAACAGTTCTTTTTTTCTCCATCAATGCTTCATATCTATTACATGAATATTATGACAAAGATGGCAGCTTCATACAAATATTTAGGTTGGTTAATTTAATGACATATCAACACTTCTTGGTTTATTTGATGCCTAATACATCTTTTAAACAACTCATGAATTAATCAGAGAAACAGGTTACTTACCGTTTGAAGTTGGAGGTATACTTGTGGTTGTATTTGCGTCTTTCAAACATGCAATGGCAACATCCTCATTGTGTCCACAGTTATGCACTCCCCAATTAAGGTTGGGACAAACTTCAAGATCATATTCTAATCCAGTACAACTGAGGTCATCAAGCCAGATGACACCTTGCCCTTGTCCAAATGTATTTGGAATTACATCTCCAGAACTGAAATGAAAATTTATTCAAAAAAAGAAAAATCAAAAATATTACATATGTTGTGGGTGAAAAGGTTCATGGCCCGACTCACTTTCAGTAATCTCATTCTGCACTGATATCTTTACCAGTAGCACATTTAAATCAATTAATCAATGCACCAGTTTATGCTATAGGGGCAAGTACAATTTAAAATACAATCACACAATTAGGGCTATCTTTGCTTAAAAAACCATTAGGGAACTATACAATTATTATACTTTATTATCACTTGGACAGTTGACGCAACTCATAATGTCAGAATAGACCAAACAAATTATTACTAATTTTGTTGATAATTTTTTGTGTTTTTTCCAGAGAAAATGGTTAACTTCATTCTCATGGATTTAACTTTGATGAGGGCTAGAGAATGGATTAAATAAAATATTTTCTTTGCAGTCATTATTTACATTAACATCCAAAGAAAAAAAATGTAAAAATATTAAAACTAAAATTACCTGTATCCCATCATTCTACAAATAACCTTTGCATCATTGTTATCAAAATATCATCACAGACAGTCCCTCTGATTCCCGAATGATTTCAATTCTTCCACTGAGTTTGATGAGCCACCAACAAGTTCAATTATGATGACTGAAGAGAAAAAATAACAATAAAAGAGTGAGATTTGAAAACTGATGAATGAATTTAAACATAGGTTCTGGTACATATGCCTTGACCAGAATATATATATGTATATACACACACACACTAGGATGATAACTAATAATTTCGTTTCCTTTTAAGTTTTCATTTTATATACGTTATTATAGAAATTTATTGCAAATAAATTACTACAGAAATGCATTGCACAACGATAGGAATGTATTGACAATGGTTTGCATTATAGAAACATAACATGTAAAAATAAACCCATCAATACTATCTAAATACACTGCTACCCATCATTACTTTATAAAGTAAATTGCTACCCATCATTTGCGATATAAATTATCCATCATTATTACATAAATCACTGCTACCCATCATTTGCTGTATAAATACAGCTATCCATCATTTCCTACATAAATAATGCTACGCATCATTTTGCTGTATAAGTCACTTCTATCCATTTACTATATAAATACAGCTACCCATCATTTGTTAATAAATACCTGATATCCATGATTTCCTATATAAAACTGCTAATTCATTTTTACTAGAAAATAACTGCTATCCATGATTTTCTATATAAAAAAAAATTGCTATTCATTTATATTATAGTAGTACATTGCCCAAAATTTGATTATTGAAATGCTTTGACAAAATTTAAAAGTTTTACATTAAAAAAATATCAGAAATCAGTAAAATAGAAAATAAAATGGGAACAGTTCTTTTTTCTTCAATGCTTCATATCTATTACATGAATATTATGACAAAATGGCAGCAAATATTTAGGTTGGTTAATTTAATGACATATCCACTTCTTGGTTTATTTGATGACATCTTTTTAAACAACTCATGAATTAATGTTTTAGTTGGAGGTATATGTGTTTGTATTTGCGTCTTTCAAACATGCAATGGCAACATCCTCATTGTGGAGTTGCACTCCCCCAATTAAGGTTGGGACAAACTTCAAGATCATATTCTAATCCAGTACAACTGAGGTCATCAAGAGATGACACCTTGCCCTTGTCCAAATGTATTTGGAATTACATCTCAGAACTGAAATGAAAATTTATTCAAAAAAGAAAAAAAAATCAAAAATATTACATTTGTGGGTGAAAAGGTTCATGGCCCGACTCACTTTCAGTAATTCATTCTGCACTGATATCTTTTTAGCACATTTAAATCAATTAATCAATGCACCAGAAAAAAACTTATGCTATAGGGGCAAGTACAATTTAAAATACAATCACACAATTAGGGCTTTCTTTGCTTAGAAATGCACCATTAGGGAACTATACAATTATTATACTTTATTATCACTTGGACAGTTGACGCAACTCATAATGTCAGAATAGACCAAACAAATTATTACTAATTTTGTTGATAATTTTTTTGTGTTTTTTCCAGAGAAAATGGTTAACTTCATTCTCATGGATTTAACTTGATGAGGGCTAGAGAATGGATTAAATAAAATATTTTCTTTGCAGTCATTATTTACATTATGTAATTCCTTGTCTATCCAAAGAAAAAATATGTAAAAATATTAAAACTAAAAATTACCTGTATCCCATCATTCTACAAATAACCTTTGCATCATTGTTATCAAAACTATCATCACAGACAGTTCCTCTGATTCCATTACGAATGATTTCAATTCTTCCACTGAGTCCTGATGAGCCACCAACAAGTTCAATTATGATGACTGAAGAGAAAAAGGCATAACAATAAAAGAGAGTGAGATGTATGAAAACTGATGAATGAATTTAAACATAGGTTCTGTACATATGCAACTGTTTATTTGTGACCAGAATATATATATGTATATATACACACACACACACTAGGATGATAACTAATAATTTCGACACATTCCTTTCTAAGTTTTCATTTTATATACGTTATTATAGAAATTTATTGCAAATAATGATTACTACAGAAATGCATTGCACATCATTTTACGATAGGAATGTATTGACAATGGTTTGCATTATAGAAACATAACATTTTCTGTAAAATATATTACCCATCATATACTATCTAAATACACTGCTACCCATCAGTTACTTTATAAGTAAATTGCTACCCATCATTTGCGATATAAATACACCGCTATCCATCACTTATTACATAAATACACTGCTACCCATCATTTGCTGTATAAATACACTGCTATCCATCATTTCCTACATAAATACACTGCTACGCATCATTTGCTGTATAAGTACACTTCTATCCATGATTTACTATATAAATACACTGCTACCCATCATTTGTTATATAAATACACTGCTACCCATCATTTGTTATATAAATACACTGCTATCCATGATTTTCTATATAAATACACTGCTAATCATCATTTACTACATAAATACACTGCTATCCATGATTTTCTATATAAATACACTGTGTGTTATAATAATATTGTAATGCATTGCTATTGATTTATATTATAGTAGTACATTGCCCAAAATTTGATTATTGAAATGCTTTGACAAACATTTTTGCCAATCAGTTTTACATTAAAAAATATTTTTGCTGCAAAATCCAGTAAAATTATTTTTTCATAGAAAATAAAATGTGGGAACAGTTCTTTTATTCTCCATTAATGCTTCGTATCTATTACATGAATATTATGACAAAGATGGCAGCTTCATACAAATATTTAAGTTGTTTAATTTACTGACATATCAACACTTCTTGGTTTATTTGATGCCAAATACATCTTTTATAATGACACAGCTACCCATCATTTTCTATATAAATACACTGCTATCCATCATTTACTATCGAAATAAACTGCTATCCATCATTTACTATCTAAATAAACTGCTACCAATCATTTGCTATATAAATACACTGCTACCCATCATTTACTATGTAAATACACTGCTACCCATCATTTACTATCTAAATACACTGCTACCCATCATTTACTACATTAATACACTGCTATCCATCATTTGCTATATAAATACATGGCTACCCATCATTTGCTGTATAAATACACTGCTACCCAACATTTGTTATATAAATACGCTGCTATCCATCATTTTCTACATAAATACATTGCTACCCATCATTTGCTACATAAATACACTGCTATCCATCATTTATTACATAAATACACTGCTATCCATCATTTGCTATATAAATACCTTGCAATCCATCATTTGCTATATAAATACCTTGCAATCCATCATTTCCTATATAAATACACTGCTATCCATCATTTCCTATATAAATACACTGCTATCCATCATTTACTATCTAAATACACTCCTACCCATCATTTACTATCTAAATACACTCCTACCCATCATTTACTATCTAAATACACTCCTACCCATCATTTACTATCTAAATACACTCCTACCCATCATTTACTATCTAAATACACTGCTACCCATCATTTGCTACATTAATACACTGCTACCCATCATTTGCTGTATAAATACACATCTATCCATGATTTGCTACATAAATACACTGTTACCCATCATTTGTTATATAAATACACTTCTATCCATCATTTTCTATATAAATATACTGCTACACATCATTTACTACATAAATACACTGCTATCCATGATTTGCTATATAAATACACTGCTAATCATCATTTACTACATAAATACACTGCTATCCATGATTTTCTATATAAATACACTGCGTGTTATAATAATATTGTAATGCATTGCTATTCATTTATATTATAGTAGTACATTGCCCAAAATTTGATTATTGAAATGCTTTGACAAACATTTTTGCCAATTAGATTTACATTAAAAAATATTTTTGCTGCAGAAATCCAGTAAAAATTATTTTTCTCATAGAAAATAAAATGTGGGAACAGTTCTTTTTTTCTCCATCAATGCTTCATATCTATTACATGAATATTATGACAAAGATGGCAGCTTCATACAAATATTTAGGTTGGTTAATTTAATGACATATCAACACTTCTTGGTTTATTTGATGCCTAATACATCTTTTAAACAACTCATGAATTAATCAGAGAAACAGGTTACTTACCGTTTGAAGTTGGAGGTATACTTGTGGTTGTATTTGCGTCTTTCAAACATGCAATGGCAACATCCTCATTGTGTCCACAGTTATGCACTCCCCAATTAAGGTTGGGACAAACTTCAAGATCATATTCTAATCCAGTACAACTGAGGTCATCAAGCCAGATGACACCTTGCCCTTGTCCAAATGTATTTGGAATTACATCTCCAGAACTGAAATGAAAATTTATTCAAAAAAAGAAAAATCAAAAATATTACATATGTTGTGGGTGAAAAGGTTCATGGCCCGACTCACTTTCAGTAATCTCATTCTGCACTGATATCTTTACCAGTAGCACATTTAAATCAATTAATCAATGCACCAGAAAAAAAACTTATGCTATAGGGGCAAGTACAATTTAAAATACAATCACACAATTAGGGCTATCTTTGCTTAAAAATGCACCATTAGGGAACTATACAATTATTATACTTTATTATCACTTGGACAGTTGACGCAACTCATAATGTCAGAATAGACCAAACAAATTATTACTAATTTTGTTGATAATTTTTTTGTGTTTTTTCCAGAGAAAATGGTTAACTTCATTCTCATGGATTTAACTTGATGAGGGCTAGAGAATGGATTAAATAAAATATTTTCTTTGCAGTCATTATTTACATTATGTAATTCCTTGTCTATCCAAAGAAAAATATGTAAAAATATTAAAACTAAAAATTACCTGTATCCCATCATTCTACAAATAACCTTTGCATCATTGTTATCAAAACTATCATCACAGACAGTTCCTCTGATTCCATTACGAATGATTTCAATTCTTCCACTGAGTCCTGATGAGCCACCAACAAGTTCAATTATGATGACTGAAGAGAAAAAGGCATAACAATAAAAGAGAGTGAGATGTATGAAAACTGATGAATGAATTTAAACATAGGTTCTGTACATATGCAACTGTTTATTTGTGACCAGAATATATATATGTATATATACACACACACACACTAGGATGATAACTAATAATTTCGACACATTCCTTTCTAAGTTTTCATTTTATATACGTTATTATAGAAATTTATTGCAAATAATGATTACTACAGAAATGCATGGCACATCATTTTACGATAGGAATGTATTGACAATGGTTTGCATTATAGAAACATAACATTTTTCTGTAAAAATATATTACCCATCATATACTATCTAAATACACTGCTACCCATCAGTTACTTTATAAGTAAATTGCTACCCATCATTTGCGATATAAATACACCGCTATCCATCACTTATTACATAAATACACTGCTACCCATCATTTGCTGTATAAATACACTGCTATCCATCATTTCCTACATAAATACACTGCTACGCATCATTTGCTGTATAAGTACACTTCTATCCATGATTTACTATATAAATACACTGCTACCCATCATTTGTTATATAAATACACTGCTACCCATCATTTGTTATATAAATACACTGCTATCCATGATTTGCTATATAAATACACTGCTAATCATCATTTACTACATAAATACACTGCTATCCATGATTTTCTATATAAATACACTGCGTGTTATAATAATATTGTAATGCATTGCTATTGATTTATATTATAGTAGTACATTGCCCAAAATTTGATTATTGAAATGCTTTGACAAACATTTTTGCCAATCAGTTTTACATTAAAAATATTTTTTGCTGCAAAAATCCAGTAAAAATTATTTTTTCATAGAAAATAAAATGTGGGAACAGTTCTTTTTTATTCTCCATTAATGCTTCGTATCTATTACATGAATATTATGACAAAGATGGCAGCTTCATACAAATATTTAAGTTGTTTAATTTACTGACATATCAACACTTCTTGGTTTATTTGATGCCAAATACATCTTTTATAATGACACAGCTACCCATCATTTTCTATATAAATACACTGCTATCCATCATTTACTATCGAAATAAACTGCTATCCATCATTTACTATCTAAATAAACTGCTACCAATCATTTGCTATATAAATACACTGCTACCCATCATTTACTATGTAAATACACTGCTACCCATCATTTACTATCTAAATACACTGCTACCCATCATTTACTACATTAATACACTGCTATCCATCATTTGCTATATAAATACATTTGGCTACCCATCATTTGCTGTATAAATACACTGCTACCCAACATTTGTTATATAAATACGCTGCTATCCATCATTTTCTACATAAATACATTGCTACCCATCATTTGCTACATAAATACACTGCTATCCATCATTTATTACATAAATACACTGCTATCCATCATTTGCTATATAAATACACTGCTATCCATCATTTCCTATATAAATACACTGCTACCCATCATTTACTATCTAAATACACTGCTACCCATAATTTACTATCTAAATACACTGCTACCCATCATTTACTATCTAAATACACTGCTACCCATCATTTGCTACATTAATACACTGCTACCCATCATTTGTTATATAAATACACTGCTATCCATCATTTTCTATATAAATATACTGCTACACATCATTTACTACATAAATACACTGCTATCCATGATTTGCTATATAAATACACTGCTATCCATGATTTGCTATATAAATACACTGCTAACCATCATTTACTACATAAATACACTGCTATCCATGATTTTCTATATAAATACACTGCGTGTTATAATAATATTGTAATGCATTGCTATTCATTTATATTATAGTAGTACATTGCCCAAAATTTGATTATTGAAATGCTTTGACAAACATTTTTGCCAATTAGTTTTACATTAAAAAATATTTTTGCTTCAGAAATCCAGTAAAAATTATTTTTCTCATAGAAAATAAAATGTGGGAACAGTTCTTTTTTTCTCCATCAATGCTTCATATCTATTACATGAATATTATGACAAAGATGGCAGCTTCATACAAATATTTAGGTTGGTTAATTTAATGACATATCAACACTTCTTGGTTTATTTGATGCCTAATACATCTTTTAAACAACTCATGAATTAATCAGAGAAACAGGTTACTTACCGTTTGAAGTTGGAGGTATACTTGTGGTTGTATTTGCGTCTTTCAAACATGCAATGGCAACATCCTCATTGTGTCCACAGTTATGCACTCCCCAATTAAGGTTGGGACAAACTTCAAGATCATATTCTAATCCAGTACAACTGAGGTCATCAAGCCAGATGACACCTTGCTTTGTCCAAATGTATTTGGAATTACATCTCCAGAACTGAAATGAAAATTTATTCAAAAAAAGAAAAATCAAAAATATTACATATGTTGTGGGTGAAAAGGTTCATGGCCCGACTCACTTTCAGTAATCTCATTCTGCACTGATATCTTTACCAGTAGCACATTTAAATCAATTAATCAATGCACCAGAAAAAAAACTTATGCTATAGGGGCAAGTACAATTTAAAATACAATCACACAATTAGGGCTATCTTTTGCTTAAAATGCACCATTAGGGAACTATACAATTATTATACTTTATTATCACTTGGACAGTTGACGCAACTCATAATGTCAGAATAGACCAAACAAATTATTACTAATTTTGTTGATAATTTTTTGTGTTTTTCCAGAGAAAATGGTTAACTTCATTCTCATGGATTTAACTTGATGAGGGCTAGAGAATGGATTAAATAAAATATTGTCTTTGCAGTCATTATTTACATTATGTAATTCCTTGTCTATCCAAAGAAAAAATATGTAAAAATATTAAAACTAAAAATTACCTGTATCCCATCATTCTACAAATAACCTTTGCATCATTGTTATCAAAACTATCATCACAGACAGTCCCTCTGATTCCATTACGAATGATTTCAATTCTTCCACTGAGTCCTGATGAGCCACCAACAAGTTCAATTATGATGACTGAAGAGAAAAAGGCATAACAATAAAAGAGAGTGAGATGTATGAAAACTGATGAATGAATTTAAACATAGGTTCTGTACATATGCAACTGTTTATTTGTGACCAGAATATATATATGTATATACACACACACACACTAGGATGATAACTAATAATTTCGACACATTCCTTTCTAAGTTTTCATTTTATATACGTTATTATAGAAATTTATTGCAAATAATGATTACTACAGAAATGCATTGCACATCATTTTACGATAGGAATGTATTGACAATGGTTTGCATTATAGAAACATAACATTTTTCTGTAAAAATATATTACCCATCATATACTATCTAAATACACTGCTACCCATCAGTTACTTTATAAGTAAATTGCTACCCATCATTTGCGTATATAAATACACCGCTATCCATCACTTATTACATAAATACACTGCTACCCATCATTTGCTGTATAAATACACTGCTATCCATCATTTCCTACATAAATACACTGCTACGCATCATTTGCTGTATAAGTACACTTCTATCCATGATTTACTATATAAATACACTGCTACCCATCATTTGTTATATAAATACACTGCTACCCATCATTTGTTATATAAATACACTGCTATCCATGATTTGCTATATAAATACACTGCTAATCATCATTTACTACATAAATACACTGCTATCCATGATTTTCTATATAAATACACTGCGTGTTATAATAATATTGTAATGCATTGCTATTCATTTATATTATAGTAGTACATTGCCCAAAATTTGATTATTGAAATGCTTTGACAAACATTTTTGCCAATCAGTTTTACATTAAAAAATATTTTTGCTGCAAAAATCCAGTAAAAATTATTTTTTTCATAGAAAATAAAATGTGGGAACAGTTCTTTTATTCTCCATTAATGCTTCGTATCTATTACATGAATATTATGACAAAGATGGCAGCTTCATACAAATATTTAAGTTGTTTAATTTACTGACATATCAACACTTATTGGTTTATTTGATGCCAAATACATCTTTTATAATGACACAGCTACCCATCATTTTCTATATAAATACACTGCTATCCATCATTTACTATCGAAATAAACTGCTATCCATCATTTACTATCTAAATAAACTGCTACCAATCATTTGCTATATAAATACACTGCTACCCATCATTTACTATGTAAATACACTGCTACCCATCATTTACTATCTAAATACACTGCTACCCATCATTTACTACATTAATACACTGCTATCCATCATTTGCTATATAAATACATGGCTACCCATCATTTGCTGTATATATACACTGCTACCCAACATTTGTTATATAAATACGCTGCTATCCATCATTTTCTACATAAATACATTGCTACCCATCATTTGCTACATAAATACACTGCTATCCATCATTTATTACATAAATACACTGCTATCCATCATTTGCTATATAAATACACTGCTATCCATCATTTACTATCTAAATACACTGCTACCCATAATTTACTATCTAAATACACTGCTACCCATAATTTACTATCTAAATACACTGCTACCCATCATTTACTATCTAAATACACTGCTACCCATCATTTACTATCTAAATACACTGCTACCCATCATTTGCGACATTAATACACTGCTACCCATCATTTGGTGTATAAATACACATCTATCCATGATTTGCTACATAAATACACTGTTACCCATCATTTGTTATATAAATACACTGCTATCCATCATTTTCTATATAAATATACTGCTACACATCATTTACTACATAAATACACTGCTATCCATGATTTGCTATATAAATACACTGCTAACCATCATTTACTACATAAATACACTGCTATCCATGATTTTCTATATAAATACACTGCGTGTTATAATAATATTGTAATGCATTGCTATTCATTTATATTATAGTAGTACATTGCCCAAAATTTGATTATTGAAATGCTTTGACAAACATTTTTTGCCAATTAGTTTTACATTAAAAAATATTTTTGCTTCAGAAATCCAGTAAAAAATTATTTTTTCTCATAGAAAATAAAATGTGGGAACAGTTCTTTTTTTCTCCATCAATGCTTCATATCTATTACATGAATATTATGACAAAGATGGCAGCTTCATACAAATATTTAGGTTGGTTAATTTAATGACATATCAACACTTCTTGGTTTATTTGATGCCTAATACATCTTTTTAAACAACTCATGAATTAATCAGAGAAACAGGTTACTTACCGTTTGAAGTTGGAGGTATACTTGTGGTTGTATTTATGTCTTTCAAACATGCAATGGCAACATCCTCATTGTGTCCACAGTTATGCACTCCCCAATTAAGGTTGGGACAAACTTCAAGATCATATTCTAATCCAGTACAACTGAGGTCATCAAGCCAGATGACACCTTGCCCTTGTCCAAATATATTTGGAATTACTTCTCCAGAACTGAAATGAAAATTTATTCAAAAAAAGAAAAATCAAAAATATTACATATGTTGTGGGTGAAAAGGTTCATGGCCCGACTCACTTTCAGTAATCTCATTCTGCACTGATATCTTTACTAGTAGCACATTTAAATCATTTAATCAAGGCACCAGAAAAAAAAAGCTTATCAGAACAGTTGCTATGAAAATATTTGTAGAAAAGACAAAGGGAAGCCACATTGCATTGGTGAGAAAGTAATACTTGGTCAGGACATGTCTGATAATCTGACAAGATTTGCTTTTGAAATCAATTCTTGAATTAACTGAGATTTTTTGAGCACTTCATTATAAAAATAATCTAGATTTTAATTAGAAAATTGCTATAAATATTAAAAGTATAAGAAATATCTTAAGTGCATTTTTAAAAATTAAAATTGATCTGAATTCCAACATGACAATGGTTATAGTGATATTGTCATTAGAACATGGAAGAAGCTACATTGAACTATGAGAAAAGTGCTCCCCAAGGAAGGTACATATTACATTCTATGGGATGAGGTCCAGATAATGAGGAGCATTATTCAAGGAGTAAGGTAGCTGAAGGATGTGACATATATCAAACTGTTAATAAGTTGTGCTAGAGGGGCAAGTACAAATTAAAATACAATCACACAATTAGGACTTTCTTTGCTTAGAAATGCACCATTAGGGAACTATACAATTATTATATTTTATTATCACTTGGACAGTTGACGCAACTCATAATGTTGGAATAGACCAAACCAATTATTACTAATTTTGTTGATAATTCTTTTTTTTTTTTTCCAGAGAAAATGGTTAAGTTCATTCTCATGGATTTCACTTGATGAGGGCGAGAGAATGGATCAAATAAAATATTTTCTTTGCAGTCATTATTTACATTATCTAATTCATTATCTATCCAAAGAAAAAATATGTAAAAATATTAAAACTAAAAATCACCTGTATCCCATCATTCTACAAATAACCTTTGCATCATTGTTATCAAATTGATCATCACAGACAGTTCCTCTGATTCCATTACGAATGATTTCAATTCTTCCACTGAGTTCTGATGTGCCACCAACAAGTTCAATTCTGATGACTGAAGAGAAAAAGAAAAATCATAACTCTAGGGAAACCTGTCAAAAGTGATGCATTCATTTAAGTATAGGTTATGGAGATTTTCAATTCTTTATTTCTGTTCAGGTTGTATAAAACAAAAAGTGATTAACAAAAATAAGACGGATCTGGTGTAATGCTTAACATTAATGAAAAAAAAAACAATATGGAAGTGACAAAACAACAGAGATAAGCCGTGGTTGAGATAAGTGAAAGGGTTTTTGTTTCCTGTGATTTATAAGCTTTGAATGTTTGCTCATTCTCGAATATCATATATCAATTGTGGAAAAAAGAGAGTACATTCAAGGTATAACACAAAGTAGTATTTGAGATAAACACACGAAGATCATCAACATGTATATTTGTTGGAAATTAAAATAATAAAAATAAGTGTCTTGTTATATTTTCTTATCTTCACTTATTTTGTATATAGGCTGTATTTTATTTTGAAATTAAAAAAATGTATCCAAGTGTCAAACTATTTAGCAGAGATATTGATTGCTAGATTAGTGAATTTTCTGCAGATGATTTTTTTGTATACTAGTGGGAAAGGGTAACTGATCTATTTATTTTGCCTATACTGGTTCTTCTTGTGTGTATGCAAATTGACTTGTTTGAGTTTAATAACAAAATGGAGATCTCATGAAAGAGTGAGTTCATGTCTTTTGAGAAGTTTTTTTTTTGTGTTGGCAAACAGGGCTTGATCAGTGCCTTTAGGTAAAATGGAGAGTGACATGATCTTACCTCCATTCTTGAACTCAAGAAGGTTCCAACACCAGCAGAAGTGATTGTTTCCATGACAACCCAAAACACAGAATGGAGCAAAAGGTTTCATCACAAAGAATGCAGCTTTGTGAGCCAAAAATTTACTTTTTTAAATATACAGCAGAGTAATACAAGATTTTAAAGGGTTAAATTAAATTGAAAACATGTTATTAAGATATATTATTATATTTGATGTTATATCTATTTGAGTGAGATAGACACATGGGATAAATTTTGCATGAATTATCACATTGTAGTAGTTGAGAAATTGGTCTCTGCCACTACTGCTGGCTTCATTGCTGGTTGAAGGCATTGCTATTCATGGAAGTATCCTGGTGATGCTACTGATGTCCTGGGAAGTTATTTAGTCTTCCATAGCTTTATAGGGAGTCAATTGTTCAAAAAGGACCACTGCAGAAAGCCATGTGGGCATTTACTGATTGGTCAAATGAGATGGTTTATGACCCTAGTATTTTTGGATGGCATTCCAGAAAAAATTAAGATTTTCTAGAAGGTGGCGTGTGATGTTCTGTTGCTTGTAGACTTGGTGCTAGAGTGGAGGTAATGTAAATATAAAATGCGACCCTTGCCCAAGCTTTCCAACAACCAGCCAATGATTACCTAACATTGCATTTCCATTCTCAATCTCGTCAGTATGCATTGAAAGCTGGGAAAGGGCATGGTGCTCCTCATAAGGTAACAAGATGAAAGAGAAAAACCACATTGAGAAATAAGAATGTTTCTCATATTATATGTAGATTCTGGGTTTTGCCTGTGTGGGTAGATATGTGATACTTGGGAAAACTTGGAACAGTTATGTCAGCTGTTCCCCCGACTAAGTGCACATGTACACATCTCAATATGTGGCTGGCAGTAGGAATGGATAGCACAGGAACCATGTGTATCAAATCATTGTCTGATTCTAATGAAATTTTCAAGACATATTGACAAATGTATTGTTTTGGGGATTTGTTTTATTAGAAAATCTTCGTAATTTTTTTCTCATGTATTTCAGCCCCTTCCTTAATTTTATAAAAAGCTTGAGAAACTTGAGAAAGTCATCAAGATAATTTCTAGTGACTATATTAGTTAAAAGCTAAATCCTTTGAAGAAATTAAATCAGTTAATTTTATTTGCAAATATCAAAATCGGTTTTACTGAAAATCTGTTCTGAATCAAAAAATAAAAAAATGCAATAAATTGAGCTATTATTTAACTAGGTAAATTGTTAATTGCATTTATGAATAATATATATTAAAGACAATCTTGTCTAAAGAAAAAAAATTTTCCATGAAAAATTAATTTTTACAAGATTTGTTATTTCTTATTTTACAATTTTAAATTGAGTAATTTATAAAGTTTTTAAATCTTTTAAAATTCAGTTTCATTGTGATAACTCTCAGTAAATATTGTTATTAAGTAAAACTATATTAAACCAATCATATATTGTAAAGCTTATTACAATCAGACAACTCCGAATAATTCTTTTTAAAAATTTGATTTGTTTCTGTATGTGTGATTAAATGCAGAATTTCTGAAATATGGATGTACAAACCAATAAATCTATCTTTAAACTTTACCATCTGCTCTGTTATACTTAAGATATTTAATTACTCAACATGTTTGTCTGTCAATAAATTGATTAACACATCACAAAAAAAACAAGACCCCATACTTATTAAATATTTGTATACAACATTTTATGCTATCAATAACATTTGTTTCAAATCAGATTAATTTAACTTTAAATTTGCCAATTTCCTTTAAATAATATTTCAGAAATATATATTTTATTTTTGCAAGATTTTTAAATCCAAGAATTAACTTTTGTTTACAAATTTATCAAAATGGCCAATTTTTATTGATTTTACTGAAAAAAAAAATCCATTTCTGTTTGCAATACACAACAGAGTACTGTGCTTAATAGTAAATTTATTCTACATATTATTATATGTAGAAGTTTTATTCTAGGTTTCACCTCTGTGGGTAGGTACATGATATTTAAGATAACTTCTGTTACATCAGTTGTTCCCCCTACCAACTCCTCATCCATGTAAATCTCCCAACGTGTGGCTAGAAAGTCTGCCTACCATTGAGAGTGGACAAGAACTTTCAAGCATGACTTAATATAGACCAGCATTCCAGTTTTGTTGAAATTTTTTCTCCTTTACTTCCCAACCCTCTTCTGACAAACTGGATGTCACTTAGAAAACTAGACATAAAAAAGATACCAGCTGCTGGCTATTAGACAGAAACACTTGAGATTGAAATAAAACCACATCTTTTTCCACACAGGTGTCCATTGTATCATCTTAAAGTGCATCATCTTTATCACTGTTGGCTTTAAACTGTCAATAGTGATGCTGTCTGCATTACTGCCTCATTTGATTAGGTAGTATTTATCAGCTCAGTCAAAAACTTTAAAGGGAGCTTGGTAGTTGGGTGTAAGGAATACATACTTGCAGTTGTGAAGTGTGCAGCCTAAATTTTTCTTTGACAATATTCCTGGTGATGAGTGGTTGTCTTTATATGCTTTGAACCAAGCAAGTTGTTAAATTCCTAGAATAGATTTTTTCTAAATAGCTGACTGCACAAAAAAAAATCAAAAAAGTCAAGCAAGTTTTTGAATTTCTCAAGTAAGTCTGATTGGAATTGTTTTTCACGGTAAGTTGTGATTACTTGTGGAGTTCTAAAAGTTGCAACCTAGTCTCTTAGAATCACTTTGTGACAGCTGTGACATCTTTGATCATTTCTGTGCTCAGCCATCAGGAAAATCTATTGACTAGAGTAAATAAGTATCATTATCCCTGAAACATGGGAAGGTAGCAGACTATATCAATGTATAGATTTGTTAATCATACATCAGGGTTGGTAAAGGTGCCTACAGGTGATTTGATATGATGATGAATTTTACATCATTGACTTTCTAGGAATATGGTAGACCATTCTCATGCATAAGGCATCATGTTCTGCCAAATGAAGTGCTCTGTGATGAGTTTGACTGGGGCTCATTTGCTAGGATGTTATATTCCATGTGGTGTTAGAAAACCTTTTTCTTCTGTGTGAGAGGGATATAGGGTCTGGGGCTATCCATTGTGATGTCAAAGGAAAGCATCTTGTTACTGAAAGAAACTGGTAATTCTCAGAGCTTAAATGAAGTGTTCGTTCATACATCTTGTAATGTTGACTCTGAAATCTGTTCTGATATTATTATCTTGGTGCATGTGTTGATGTCTTCTCTTAAGACTGCGACTGTGTTGTCCTTGCTTTTTACATGTGCTTAAAAGTTCATAGGCTGTCTATGAAAGAGTGATGCTAGCATTGTGAAACCTTGTATGCTTTAATTTCAACTCTTTTTATTAATAAGTGCATTGTTTGTTTCCAGGTAACCTGATATCTGACTCTTCAAAGAAGGCTTACTCAATAGTAAACCTGGCAGTTCTGACAAAGTCAACCTGGACGCTGCTTTCAAACAGGAACTTCAGTCAGTGGTTAACTGGGATAGGAAATGGCTTGTAAATTTTAATGCCTCCAAAACAAAACCTATCTTATTTAACCACCAGAGAGATAATTCCCTGTCTGCCATTGTATGCTTGATGCTAAACTTGAGGAGAGTGTCTCTCTGTGCCTTTTCAGCCATATTGTTTTGAATGACTTGAAGTGGAACAATTATATTGAATCAATAGTTGCTTCTGCTGCAAGGAAAGTTGGCTCACTGTGTCATGCCAGAAGGTATTTTCTTGTCAGAGTCCATCCTGCATATTTACAAATCTACCATTTGTCTGTGCATTGAGTACTATTGCCAGCTGTTCATCTTGAGGTTCTCAACAAAAATCCAAAGAAGGATGTGCAATGTAATCAGTCCTGACTTGGCATCTTGCCTCCAGTCATTTTCTCATAGACATGATAGAGAAAGGGAAGATTGCATAGCATTAACTGATTGCTTCCATTCACCAGCACAAGGTACTGCTGGTTACTAAGTATCTCCATGGTTCTCCCTGTTTTTATCCACTGATGAGAGTAAGGGCCATCTTGATTCTGGATCTGAACAGAATCACCAATTTGTAATTCCTGAAGTGGGTGAAAATGTTAATTGTAAAAGTGTTTGTTCCATTTTTTTTAGCCATTTAGACATTGTCGATAAGACATTGAAATGTCAGGGCATCTTTCCTTAAACTAAATAGCATTTTTTAAAACTTCATAAAGTCCAAATGATGT